CTAGCCCTCCTGTGCAGCACTGTAACCTCAACAGTCCTCACAAAGACAAGGAGCAGGGAATGGCTTCTTCCATTTGGTGTTTGGTACCCAGAAGAGGTGGATCCATTCTAGCAGCTTCCACTGTGCTTTTCTGAGTCCCTTCTGGGAGTCCATGGACGGAGAAGAAGATAGTGAGGCAGGACAAGAAGAGATCTGGGACCTCATGTGCATCTGGGGAAGTGGGAGACAGCATGTCTAACCCCATGAGTGAGGAGCCATTATTCTCCCCATTTTAGATGCAAGGAAGTTGGTGCTCCAAGAGGGGAGGGAGTGAGCTACCTCAGATCCCCAGCTAAGGACTCTAACCAAGAGAATCTGTGGCTTCCACATTCTCAGCTGGTTTCTTGGGAAACTTTTCTTCTATACAAACTACTTAGGAAGCTAAATGGGGCTCCAACACCAGAGGGAAGACGGCTCAGCTCAGCTCAACACTGCCCAGACTCCACAGAGCCAGGAAAGTTGTGGTGTGTCTGTGGGACCGTCTTCTAACCTGGGGACAATTGGCAGGGATCCCAGCCCTACCTGCTGCACACAGCAGAGTGTAGACCTTAGACCCTATTTCAGTGGCTCTGAGACTAGAGCTCTGTACCCATTAGCTGTGCCCTTCCCATTCAGCACCACAGACATAGCCATCACCTCCTCCTACCTGTTTCTGTAATAATAACAGCTAATATTCATTTGAGTTTCCTATCTGCTAAGCAGATGTCATCAGTGACTCCTTTTTACAGAGGAGGAAACTGAGGTGCAGAGAAAGTTGAGTGGTTTGCTGGAGGGCACTGGCAGAGCAGGAATTTTTTGTTTGTTGGTTTGTTTTTTGTTTTTACGAGACAGGGTTTCTCTGTATTGTTTTGGAGGCTATCGGTCCAGCCCGGCCTCGAACTCACAGAGATCCGCCTGCCTCTGCCTCCCGAGTGCTGGGATTAAAGGCGTGTGCCACCAACGCCCAGCGCAGAGCAGGAATTTGAACCCAGGTTCATCTGACCCTGGAGGCAAGCTCTTCGACTTCCCTCTACTAAGATTTATTTATTTGTTTATTTATTTATTTTTGTGGTTTTTTTTCAAGGTAGTGATTCTCTGTGTAACAGCCTTGGCTGTCCTGGAACTATCTTTGTAGACCAGACTGGCCTCAAACTCACAGAGATCCACCTACTTCTGCCCACCATGTGCTGGGATTAAAGATGTGTGCCACCACACCTGGTTTTAATTATTATTTTATTATCTTATATGCATGGATGTTTCTGAAAGTATGTTTTCCCACTGTGTACATGCATTGCTTGCAAGCAGCACAAGAGGGAGGAGGGCATCGATCCCCCGTAAATGAAGTTATAGATGGCTATGGGTGCTGGGAACTGAACCTGGGTCTTCTGGAAGAGCAGCAGCTAGCGCTCTTAGCCACTGAGCCATCTCTCCAGCCCCCACATATTTTGCTCCAGAAGTTACACCCCACAGTTGACTGTTATATGAGGGTTGCACTAAAAACTGGAAGACCAGGGGGATTGAATTTGTTTGTTCTGGAATGCACCAGTCCAGGACCAATGGAGAATTTGAGGACCTCCGAACCTGGGTGAGGTCAGATCAGTCCTTGACCATGTCCTGCCAAGCTCTCTAGCCATGACTTCCCTGAGTTCCCAGAGGAAGAGACACAAGACTTAGATCACACACCTCTCCTGCTGGTCACTTTTTGTGAGGGGACGCCACCACTCCAGCCTAACTACTGACCAAGCATGTGGTTCCCTGGCCCAAGCCTGTACTCTTGCTGCCATCTGGGTCTATGAGAAGAGTACATAAACTTGGCCTTCCAAACACCCATGGTCGGGAAGCTAGCTCACAAAGGACCCTCAAAGCATCTCGTGTGTAGGCCACTACCAGGGATCCCTAAGTGGAGGTTCTGGCCCTTGGGAACCTGGTTGCAGTGAGTTGCTCTTTGGCAGCCTGCAGTCAGCCTGCACTGACAGAAAACTGCCTAAAGGGTATTTCCAGGAGCACTCACTAGCCCAGAGTCCCTTAAGCAAGTTCACCTTCAGCTCCAGGGCAAGTATCTCATGCTGTCTTCTCCTAAATAGCAGGGTTGCTAACTCTGACATTCAGGAGCTTAGAAGCAAATGTAAATCCTAGGCAAGTTGTCTTGGACAAGCCACTTAACTCTGGGGACCGCTATTTCTCAGAGCTGACGTCAGGAGCTTGTAGTCATCCTATTGGGGTCCAGTCTCCACTCTCACTTCCCTCTTTTCATTTTCCTCTTGCTTATTTTAATACTTTTAGATTATTTTTTACATTTTTATTACTATTTTGTTCCAGGGGATCCATTGCCCTCTACCAGGCATGCGCAGTAGTACACAGACATACATGCAGCCAAAATACTCATACAAATAAAATATTTTTTAAAAAAGAGGATTCCCTGGGCCAGCAGAACTCCAAGTTGAATCCTGTTCACAGCAGAAACTCACATTCCTCAGCCTTGCATTTCTTTCTCCAGTCAACCCAGGCCTCCGGACTGGCCAGCTGGGTGTCTGGCACAGCGAGGCAGGACAAGGGTTAAAGCAGGGAGGGCTTCGGCGATAATGCAGTGAGGACTCCCCAGACAGCTGGCTGGGGCACAGGAGAGCACCTGAGAAAGGGAGGTGAAGGCCCCATGACCCGCCCAGACCCCTCCTGTGGGGGACCATCAACAGCCTGACTGGAGGGGTTGGCAGGATGCGTGTGATGGGGAGGTTCTACAGACCGGGCAAGAGTCTCTACAGAGAGAGCCCAGGAAGATGGCCGTGGGGAGCAGAACTCCGTTCTTGTTCCAAGGCCACTGAGGGGTCCCCGGGATTCTAGCCCCAATCTAACCTGTGTCCCTGCCGCTCGCTCACAGGTAACCCTCCACGGCCTAGCTTGGAGCCAGAGGAGCCACGGCGCTCTGGGCCCACAGAACGGGGCAACAGCTTGGGGACTCCCAAGCTGATCCAACGTGCGCTGCTGCGGGGCACTGCCCTGCTAGCTTCCCTGGGTCTCGGCCGCGACCTGCAGCCTCCAGGAGGCCTGAGCCGTGAACGTGGGGAGCCCCCACCAGCGCCACCCCCTGCACAGACGCCCTCACCCCGCCCAGCCGAGCTGCCCTCCACCCCGCTCATTCGTCTTCCACCCACAACGCCCGATGCCCATGGCCCACCCACCCCTGCTCCGTTATTGCTGGACCTGGGTGTTCCCTCTGGCCAGCCATCTGCCAAGAGCCCTCGGCGGGAAGAGACACGTGGTGAGTGACCTTAAGACAGAGGGCAAGATAGAGACCCTCTGAAGAAAAGGGAGGAGTTGCTAGGAACTCCGAGGGTCTCAGATAGCTGCTGGGGACCCAAACCAGATCCTTAGGCTCCGGGGCCACTGGTAGAGCTATAGGTTTACCTGTGAAATAATAGAAATCTCCCTAATGGTGACAGACTCCTATTTATTAACTGGACCAAGTACTGTAACCATTCTGTAGAGGGGTTATTACATTAAATTATAATCTGTATATCAAGCATTCTTAAATTAATTTCTTTGTGAGCATTGACCAGTCGGTGTTTTGCCTACATATATGTCTGTGTAAGGGTGTCTGATCCTCTGGAACTGGAGACACAGACAGTTCTGTAAATTGCCATGTGGGTGCTGGGAATTGAACCTGGGTCCTTTGGGGGAACAGCCAATGTTCTTAACCCCTGAGCCATTTCTCCTCCAATACCATATCAAACATTCTTCTCTTTTTTGAGACAGGGTTTCTCTGTGTAACTGCCCTGGCTGTCCTGGAACTCTTATCTGTAGACCAGGGTGCTTTGAACTCACAGAGATCCCCTGCCTCTGCCTCCCGAGTGCTGGGATTAAAGGATGTGTTCCACAACGTCCAGTTTTTAAATGAAGTATTTCTGTTTGATTATACATAGGGTCTCCCTATGTAGCCCAGGCTAGCCTCAACTCCCAGTCCTTCTGTCTCAGCATCCCAAGTCCTGAGAAGACAGGCTAACTGAGGAAATTAGTTTATTTTTACATGTATCTATTCATTGTGGGGGCACACATGCCACAGTGCAAATACAGACGGCAGCTTTCAGGAGCCAGCTCTCTCGTTCTACCACCTGAACTCGGGCCATAACTGCTAAGCGGTCTGACCAGCTTAGGTGAGGGAATGTTAGGGGCACAGAGCATGAAGATACAAAGGCTCGGGGCTCCCACGGCCAGTACGTCACCAAGCAGCCCAGATGGCTCTTGACAGCCTGGCTCTCAAACATTTTAATGAACAGGCACACCATAGAGCATGGTGAGCCGTAGAGTCACATAGCTCACAGAAATAGTAGAAGATTAGGCCAGAGCAGGGCAGTTGCTTCTGGGGACACCGAGGGATTAATAGATGTCTAACCATTTACCCCTTCAAAACTCCATAGGAAGAACTGTCTCACCCCCACCAGGAATATCACGCTCGGCTCCCGGCACCCCTGGAACCCCTCGGTCACCACCCTTGGGCCTCATCAGCCGACCTCGGCCCTCACCACTCCGTAGCCGTATTGACCCATGGAGCTTTGTGTCAGCTGGGCCACGGCCTTCACCCCTGCCCTCTCCACAGCCTGCACCCCGACGGGCACCTTGGACTTTATTCCCGGACTCAGATCCTTTCTGGGACTCCCCACCTGCCAACCCCTTCCGGGGAGGCTCCCAGGACTGCCGGACACAGACCAAAGACATAGGTGCTCAGGCCCCATGGGCACCAGAAGCAGGGCCTTGAGTGGGCAGGCCACACCCCCGCGCTCCAGCTGCCTGAGAGAGGCATAGCATACACTGGAAGAGGGGCCAGGCAGGCCTCTGTGACTGCCTTGGTTTCCCCCCAGGCACCCCGACCCCTTGGGGGTCAGGAACACTACACTGCACAGAAAGCCTTCACACTGGATGGGGGGCTACACCCCACATACCTACAACCTGTAGGTCTCCTGACTTACCTGCCCCACTGGGGCCTGACACTGTACCTAGCTGGTTGGGAGGACCAGAGCCTGTCTCAGGGAATTGCCCCCAGGAGTGGTGCAGGGAGGAGGGGGAGGTACAGGGGAGGTACAGGGGCCGACCTCAGGTGTCACCAGCACTTTTGACCAAGTCCTGTTACTGTGGCCCCTGTCCCCAAGGCCTAGTTCCTGGACCCCCTTCCCTGGAGGTTATCAGACCCGGGGCTCTCTGGGTGCCTTTCTAGTGCCCCGGCCAAGGTGGGGGCCTTGGCCTGGGGAGCCAATGACGCCAAATAAACTTGTAAGCTGTCTCCCCAAATGCAGTCTGTTACCTTTCTTGGAGATAATCCAGTCTCCTTGTCCTCGTGCCCCTAAAGCAATGGGCAGATAAATAGCCAGAGACAAATCTAGACAGTCTGGTACCACATTCCTCCCCTAGGGCCCAGCCCACCATCTGGATAATCAATAAGGGCCCCTTGTCTGCCTCCCAACACTACAGAAACCAATCTCATCCACCTGATCACCATGGCCAGACTTTGTCCACTCCACAGTTTTAACTGAGCCATTTCTACCATTCAAGTGAAGGTTTGCCCTGCTGCTAGGTGGTCCCTGGCTGTCTTCTGGACCCAGCTGCAATATCATCATGCCCAAGAGTCTTTCCCAGGCCATGCTCCCCCCACCCCAGTAGATCTCATTCCCATAGCCCTCTGGGAAGCATCTTAAGGGTTTGTCCTGGGTTTATCTAGCAGAATAAGCGCCCACCAGGTATCATCATGACCCACCCTGGCATTCTGAACACTGCTTTGAGGTTCTGTCTTAGGCTAGGGTCCCCTTATGGTTTTTGAGTGAATCTCCCCATTTACACATGGCAGTCATTCCTGGTCTGCAGCCTAGCCAGGTAGGGAGGCAAGGACATCCTCAGCAAAAGCTGGGACAGAAAGTTTGGCAGCATCACCTGTTCAGTGCTCTTCCCTCATTTTTCTCCCCTACTTCCATCTAAACCCACAATTCTTTCCCACCCTCTGCCTAGACCACCACTGTTCCACGCAGAATACCATAGAGTTCTATAGAGATTTCCATAGGTTCACTGTTCTCAAAGGACTATGTTCTCAGACCCTTCCTCTTGGTTAGTTAGTCTCTTGATTACTACGCCTGACTTTTTTATTATTTTTAAATGTTTATTTAATTTTATTTTGAGATGGTCTTACTCTGTAGCCCTAACTGACTTGGAACTCACTATGTGAATCAGGTTGACCTCAAACTCACAGAAATCTGCCCTTCTGCCTCCTAAGTGCAGGGATTGAAGGTGTGTGCCATCACAATTGGCCCTCCCTATGTTCTATGTGTCTTCACCACAAGTGTGCCTGGTACCGGAGGAAGCCAGAAGTAGGGTCAGACCCCCTGGAACTGGAGTCATAGGCAGTTGTGAGCTGCCATGTGGGTGCCAGGAACCAAACCCAGGCCCTCTGGAAGAGCAGCCAGTGCACTTCACCGCTCAACCATCACCCAGTGCCAAAACTGACTTTTGTTTTATTTTCCTAGACAGGGTTTGTCCGTGTAGCTCTGGCTGTTCTGGAACTCACTCTGTAGACCAGGCTGGCCTCAAACTCAGGCTTGCATCTGCCTCCCAAGTGCTGTAATCAAAGGCATGCCTTCCAATCACCCAGTTCATAACTGGCTTCTTAGTCGCTGGTTAAAATATTACTTCCTTCAAAGAGTTTTCCTGAGCTTGCTCTCCCTGGTGGTGTCTCAGTAGATTTCTTGGGTGAGTACCAGGAGGTGAGAAGCCCGTGTCTTCCTGTGTCTGAATGAGTGAAACGGAGAAGACAAATGATGAGAAAAAGTGGCTTGGAGTAGGTGTGAGGCCCTCTTCAGGCTAGAATTTTCTCACCCATTCTTCTCACCAGGTGCCTTCCTCCACCCACCCCCGGTGTCCGGCTGCCATGTCTTGCTCCAGAAACTGGGTGCTGCAGCTCACCTCCCTACATTCACACGCACCCAGTCATCTCAGCCACCTACCCACGCAGTGCCTCCCAGCCACGCCCTTCCCAACCCCTCCCAGTGCCTGTGGTGACTTAGCCAGCTCTCTCACTGCCTGAGACTCAGTGCCATGCTATGGGGAGTCTGCAGCCCTGGGCCCGGTACTTGCTCCTGGTTGTGGCCCACCTGCTGGCCATGGGCCTTGGGGCCATGGTGCTTCAGGCCCTGGAGGGTCCTCCAGCACGCCAGCTCCAGACCCAGCTCCAGGCTGAGCTGTCTGCCTTCCAGGCAGAACACAGGGCTTGCTTGCCACCTGAGGCACTGGAGGAACTGCTAGGTGCGGCCCTGAGAGCACAGGCCCATGGAGTTTCCAGCTTGGGCAACGGCTCCGAGGCAAGCAACTGGGATCTGCCTTCAGCTCTGCTGTTTACTGCCAGCGTCCTCACCACCACCGGTAGGCCACCCCCACCAGGCAATCCAGGAGAAGGATCTGAGAGCCCATCCCCTATCCCAAAGCTCCAGACAAAGCCCAGGCTCTATCAGGCCTGGCATCACAACTGGGGCTCCCCACACAACACACCCCGACTGGTGCCTCCACTTAAGCTGCCAGGAGGGGTGTGGCCTCCCCAGCCCCACCCTATACTCTCTGAATCCAGGAGAGAAGCCCAGACCACATAGGCCTGAATCTAGGCAAAGAATACGAGAGAGTGGGAGAGATTCTTGGATGGAGAGATGCTGCAGGAAACACAGCTTAGCGGCCCTCTGAAGAGGGTGAGCAGAGGGAGTACTGATGCTCTCGGAGCCCCGTCAACAGGGTGCAGAAATAAATAGGGTTGATGAAATCCCTGCCTAGGAGAACAGCATGTGCTCAGACTCAGGGAAATGAGCCCTAGGGTTTTGTTTTGTTGTCCTGCAAATAGACTAGATGCTTTTTGAAGTGTAACACGTATTTCTAACTTCTTTTCCAATTGACTGGAGCAGAACGGGGCCTGCCTTTGGAACACAAGCTCTGGCCAACCCAGTCCTCCCTGCTCTCTTACCTCACATCTGATCCCTACGAGCTTTAGAACCCAACCCTGTTGACCCTGTTCTCCCAGCATGCCCCACTGCCCACCATTCCCTTTCTTGCTATTTCTCTGGTTCTAAATGCTATCTCTCATGCATGCTGAAAAATGCTCCTTTTCAGAACTTCTTGTTTTCTTGCCTGCTCCCCGCACAGTAAATCTTACCCATGTGGGCTGATAGAGATTCAGTGCAGCACAAGATACGGCACAGAAAGACAGGGTACACTGTGGGGAATGAACGCGGGTGGCGCCCCACTGGTTGTAGATTTGGAATATTGGTTAAGATAAGAATTGATAGCCAGGCGTTGGTGACCCAGCACTCGGGAGACAGAGGCAGGCAGATCTCTGTGAGTTCGAGGCCAGCCTGGTCTACAGAGCGAGTTCCAGGACAGCCTTCAAAACAATACAGAGAAACCCTGTCTCCAAAAAAAAAAAAAAAAAGAATTGATAAACCTCAGGGAGAGGATATCAAACTAGGAGGTCCATCAGCTGTAGAGCGCCCACCTAGAACAAATACGGCTCTCTAGGTTCTACCTGAAATCCAGGGAAAGGGAGAGGGAGGGAGGGCCTGTCAAAGACAGAACATCAGTTCATCAGTTGTTCCAGCTGCAAAAGGTCTAAGGGAATGTCTTCAGGATTAATTTTCCAGAAAAGACAACAGTAACCCAGAGAGGTTAAGGACCCTAACCTGAAATGTTCCTGCCATTTTGGCTACCAAAAGGCAGACTTCTGTGGGAGGAGATGGAGAAAAAGTGACCCCCATAGGCATCCCACTCAAAAGCTTGTTGCCTGCTGTTCTTTTCCAGGTTATGGCCATATGGCCCCACTCTCTGCAGGTGGAAAGGCCTTCTGTGTGGTCTATGCAGCACTTGGGCTGCCAGCCTCCCTAGTACTTGTGGCTGCCCTGCGCCACTGTCTGCTGCCTGTGTTCAATTGCCCTGGTGCCTGGGTAGCTGTTCGGTGGCAGTTGGCACCAGCCCAGGATGCCCTGCTACAGGCAGCAGGACTAGGCCTCCTGGTGGCCTGTGTCTTTGTGCTGCTGCCAGCTCTGGTGCTATGGGGTATACAAGGTGACTGCAGCCTGTTGGAAGCCATCTACTTCTGCTTCGGCTCGCTCAGTACTATTGGCCTAGGAGACTTGCTGCCTGGTCATGGACGTGGCCTGCATCCAGCCATTTACCACCTTGGACAGTTTGCACTTCTTGGTAAGTCCAGAAAAGAGGAGGGTAGAGGAGTCTAGACTACAACTCCCATAGACAGTAGGGACTACAACTCAGAGAGAGATCCTACCCTAGGGCACATAATGGTTGTTGTAGTCCATGTTGGGAGTTACAAGTTTGCCAGGGTGATGACCCTGGGAAGTGGGTGGGGAGCACCGTGAGCACCTTAGGAGCTGCCCTAACTAGCTCTTCTCCCCAGGCTACTTGCTCCTGGGGCTCCTGGCCATGCTGTTAGCAGTAGAGACCTTCTCAGAGCTGCCACAGATCCGTGCCATGGTAGAATTCTTTGGACCCAGAGGTTCTAGAGCAGATGAAGACCAAGATGGCATCCTAGGTCAAGATGAGCTGGCTCTGGGTACCATGCCTCCTGACCCCCCAGCCTCGGAGCAAACCACTCAAGCATCAGCGTCAGAACAGACCCCAGCTTGCTGACACAGATCAGGTGACAGGACTTCATCGTTTACACTGGGGGACCCTGAGCTGGAGGCCCTGAGAGTCTTGGGGAACGCAGCAGGAAGGGTTTGCAGGTATGAGAATGTCAGGGATCATGTTAATTTAAAAAATCAAATGGGCTGCTTAGCATGCTCGAGGGGACTCTGGGCTCAATCTTCCCACCAGAAAAGAAAGAACTCAACTGTGTGAGTGCATGTACAGCAATAAAAAAATCTAGTGTGGGTGTGGAGGCATGCACTCAGGTGGTGGCAAAGCACATGTCTGGAGGTCAAAGGACAACTTTGTGGGTTTGGTTCACTCCTAGTCACCTTTAGGTGGTTCCAGGGACTGAACTCAGATCTTCAAGCTTGACCAAAAAAATGCTTTTATCCACTGCTCTAGCTGAATGGCCCATTTAATTTTTTTTCCCTTTAGAACAATGTCACAAGGTAAACCAGGCTGATCTTTAATAGATCTGCCTCTCCGGTGCTGGGATTAAAAATATATGCTACCACCAACATAGTCAAGGCTGGCATTGACTTCCTGATCTTTCAACATCCGCCATCACCCCAAATACTGGATTTATAGGTGTATGCCACCACCATGCCTGTGGTTTTGGATATTCTTTCTTTCTTTTTCTTTTCTTTTTGGTTTTTTGAGACAGGGTTTCTCTGTATTGTTTTGGAGGCTGTCCTGGAACTAGCTCTTGTAGACCAGGCTGGCCTCGAACTCACAGAGATCCACCTGCCTCTGCCTCCCGAGTGCTGGGATTAAAGGCGTGCACCACCAATGCCCAGCTTTTGGATATTCTTTCTTTTTCTTTTTCTTTTCTTTTTTTGTGAGATAGGGTTTCTCTGTATTGCTTTGGAGGTTGTCCTGGAACTCTGTAGACCAGGCTGGCCTCGAACTCACAGAGATCCACCTGCCTCTGCTTCCCGAGTGCTGGGATTAAAGGCGTGCACCACCAATGCCCAGCTTTTGGATATTCTTTCAAAATGAAATTCCCAAAAAAAAAAAAATTCCCTCTAGCCCTCATCTATGACCCACCAAGCTCAGCTGGCACGGGCTAGAATCACATACACAGCAGTATTAGCTTAAGTCCCACCCTCTTCCTTCTATTGAAGTCCTACTGAGAAAGGGCAGGCGCTGGTTTGTCCTAGTCAAACTTTATTGCTCCAGACACAGAAGGGAAGGAGGATGTAGGTGGCGGTTCCCAAGCCATCGCTTTGTAGACACAGGGGAAGAGTTCTGTGCAGTGCCCCTAGAATCCTGGCCACCGCCAAAACATTCACACACACTGGGAGAAATAAATACTGCCTGGCAGGCTCAACTGCTCCAGTCGCCGATTACGGGTCCTCTCTGCTTCTGCTCGCTGAAGGAGCATGGGGGGGGGGGCTGTCCTCCGCCGTGCAGGCTGGGGGACTGGTGAGCTGGGAGGCTGGTGAGGAGGGGTCCGTGACCAGAGAAAAGAAGGGCGAGAACCAGGCAGGGAGCTCAGCTCAGCATGCAGCGTTCCCGCCTGCTCAGTTGCCGGCTCACCTTCTGACGCCGCTGCTCCAGGCCGCGTTCTAGGCGCTCATCTTCTTCTAGAGCGCTGGCAACAAGAGGTTCAAGTCAGTTTCACAGTTGGTCCTACTTGCAAGCCCTGAGATTCCAGACATGGCATTCCAGGAGTGTGCCCTGAGGCCTCTCCAATTCCCAGCACCAGGTCCCAAGACTCACATCCGCTCCTTCTGGTCCAGGTCCCGGACCAGCTCGTCCCTCTGATTCACCAGTGACACTAGCTCGTCCAACAGGAGTTGCTCTCGGTGCTGCTGCGCTACGGTTTTCTGCCACTCTAAAAGACAGGAGCCTGAGTCAGGAGGGCGCCCACCCTGGCCATGCTCTGCCTCCAGCCTCTGCTGTCCCATTTCTTCATTTCTCACCGTCAATGGCCATCATGGCCCGCAGCTCCCGGCTCAGCAAGTCAAACCTCCGCTCCAAGTCCTGCTCCTCGATGCTGATGGGAGGGGTGCCAAGTCAGACAGAGGGGTGGGAGTGCCCAAGGCTGTGGCCACTTGATCAGTTTCATGGAGGCCCATTCAGAGTTCTCAGCTGCTCCAGCTGCCCTCCAGTAACACTCCAAAAAGGTTGCTCTTTTCCCACACCCCACTCTAATACAAGAAAATACCCCACCACGATTATTTGGATGAAAAGGTAGGCTAGAACTGTTCTGGGAAATGATTCAAAATGCAAAAGGGAAGCAAAGCTGCCTGTGGCATGCAGGATGGTAAAGGAGATGATGGGGAGAGTGGCCTGCCACTCCACTTCCAGAGCATGCTCAGATTTCTCTGAGCTTGTTTTCCCTAGTGTAAAACTACAGTCAAACCGGAGGGCCTGTTTTCTCCCTAAAGAGTACCAATTAAGAGGTGTATGTTCGGTCAGGTGGTGGTGGCGCATGCCTTTAATTCCAGCACTCAGGAGGCAGAGGCAGGTGGATCTCTGTGAGTTCGAGGCCAACCTGGTCAACAAAGCAAGTTCCAGGACAGCCTCCAAAACAATACAGAGAAACCCTATCTCGAGAAAATGAGAGAGAGAGAGCTAAGTTAAATAAGTTAAATAAGACAAAATATTAATAAAATTGAGTAGCAAAAATTTTTCCCAAAAGATTTTCACAGAGGGCCGGGGGGGGGGGGGGCACTGGAGAGATGGTTCAGTGGTTAAGAGCACTGACTTCTCTTTCCAGAGGACCCAGGTTCAATTACCAGCACCCACATATGGCAGCTCACAACATCTGTAACTCCAGTTCCAGGAGACCCAACACCAATGGCAAAACACCAATGCATGTAAAATAAAAATACATTTTAAAAATATCTTTGAAAGAAGGAAGGAAGGAGTGACTAACCCTAAGCAAAGCTAAGATTCATTCCACCTACTTAGCCAGCTGGTGGGTGGGCCAGCAGAACCCCAGAGGGCCTAGGGAGCCCAGACTCACAGAAGCTGCAACTGGTCCTGCCTCCGGATGAGGGCATTCTTCTTGTTGACCAGGGTGAACCACTCCTCAATCAGCACCTCCTCCTGCAGCCTGTTGGCACCTGAATTAGGCCAGGGCAGTCACCAGAGCTGCCTCCTGTTGGTGCAGAGTGGCTGAGGATCGGCGAAGGGGTGTCTTGTTTCCCAGTGGCATCTCAGAACCCTGAGCTCCAGGGCCCCCGGTGACATCTCTGAACCCTGAGCTCCAGGGCCCCCGGTGGCATCTCTGAACCCTGAGCTCCAGGCCCTCCCCCCCCCCGTGGGCTTCTCCTTCCGCTTTTGCTGTGCCTCCCCCAAGGACGGAGCTGTGGCAGGGCTGGGGAGATCGAGGGAGACTGTGGAGGAGTGGACCCCAAAATGCCTGTCCCACCTGATTCCATGAGGCTCCTCAGCTGTTTCTCCACCTCAGCAGCCCGCCCATCTATCTGCCCCTGCTCCTGTTCCAGGGCCTGGAGCTCTGCGCACACGTACTGACTTGTGTCCTGGAACCGTTGCTGGGAGTGGAAGGCGGGAGGCAAAGGACAGGTGAGTTATCACAGGGCCTGCTCAGAAAACACCACATTAGCCCACCCACCTCGTGCTCCCTACCAGGCTAGCCTCTTCCCCTGGACTCGGGGGCGGCTCCTCTGAAGGAGGGTTCCCACCTGCAGACAGAAACCAGGTGAAGTTCTTCCAGCTAGCAGAAGGCCCCAAAAGGGTGTATAATCAGCCAGAGCTAAGCTGGGTCACCACCCCCATCTCCCAGACCACTCACCAGAAGGCTGCTGCGGGACTGGGGCTGTGCGTGGGCCTGAGTCAAGGCTGGGCTCAGGGTTTGGCCCTTCCTGTGGAAAGAGTCCGCTGTGAACTGGAATGGGCTTCCACAGTCCCAGTCAGAGCAGACAACCAGAGCCGCTCACACGTGGGAGGGAGGATCCGTAGTCTCAGACCCAGCTGACCCAGCTGCTTCTCCAGTCCCACAAGCCCCTCCTTCAGGGGAAAGGCTTCCTCAAGGAAAAGCCATGCTTCACTCCAGTCTGTGGGTGCAGGCCCACCGCCTCTCCGCTTCCAACAGTGGAAGTCACTGGCAAAAGGCTGGGAAAGACACAGCAGGTGCCCTGCCTTCTCCCTCGTTCCCATTCCTTCAAAGAGCCCCTTCTTCATCTGGCTCTTGTCACTTAGCACTGGCACTTCCATCAGACCTAGGGACCCTGAAGTGACAGAGCTAGGCTAGCCTGAGTCAGCATCTATCTTCTGGCCAGAAGGGGGCACCCTCCTACCTGATAGAATCCCATATCGACAGGCAACACCGCTCTTCACCAAGGAATTTTATCCTGCAAGGGCCTAGTCTGGCCTCACTGTGCCCCACTCCCTATTACTAGGGCCCAGTTATTTCTATACATGTTTTAGATTCACTTGTGTTAAGTTTGAGTGACTTTCCTGCATGTATGTATAAGCGGCATATGGGTACCCAGCATTTGCAGAGGTCAGAAGAGGGTGTCAGATGGCCTGAAGATCCCTTGGGACTGGAGTTATGAACCACTATGAGGGTGCTGGGAACAGAACCCAGGTCCTCTGCAAGAGTGTGCTCTTAACCCATAAGCCTACTGTCCAGCCCCTGGCTCCTCTGACAATACCACTAGCTTCTCTTCTGGGTCAGAGGTGTGGACCCTAAAGGAGTCGCCCACCCCACTGCTCACCCAACGTGCACCTGGCAGACCAGCCTTCCTGGCTCAGGTGCTCCTCCTGTCTGGATTGGCTGTGGTGTCACCAGCCACCACCATGCCCTGCCATTCACCTCACCCTCGAGCTAAGGGGTCTTCCTAAAACAGATCTCAGAACACTCATGGTGTAGCTCTGCTCTCCCCACACCCCATGTCAGCCCCCAGGCCCACTGCTCAGGACAGTGGGGAGCTTCAGCAGCAATTCCCTTAGCACCCCAAGCCCCAGCAAGTCACCACCCTCTTGTCACAGCAATGAACTTTCAGTTCCCTAAAAAGCTTCCTTGGTCTGAAACCACCCTCCATCTTGAACTGCTCCAAACCAACTAGACCTTTCTGAAGCAGCGTGGACTTCCTGCTGCAAGGATTCCTCAGACTTCCTTTCACACATTCTGCCTCCCTTCCTGTCCCTCTAGTGTCTGGAAGTTTGTCCTTTTTCCCCACTGAGGCAGGGATCACCCCAAGTTTACTCATGGTAGCTCCAACCCCACATACCTCCTCATGCTATTGGTTACTGCGGCCTCTAACTCACTAGAAGTGGCCCATTTATTTATTTGAGACAGAATCTCACTATGTATCATCTCTGGCTGTCCTGGAACTCGCCCTGTAGACCAGGTTGGCCTGAAACTCAAAGAGTGCTGGGATTAAAGGTGTGCCACTACACCTATTTATTTTTAAAGATTTTTAATTTAATTTTTATTATTAATTATACATGTGTGGGTGCGTGTGCATGCATGTGTGCGTGCGTGCGTGCGTGCGTGCGTGCGTGTGTGTGTGTGTGTGTGTGTGTGTGTGTGTGTGTGTGTGTGTGTGTATGAGTGCAGGTGCCTACGGAGACCAGAGGTATCAGATTCCTCGAGAGCAGCAATAGGCAGTTGTGTGCTACCTGACGCTGGTGTTGGGGAACTGAACTTGAGTTCTCTGCATTAGCACTATGTGCTCTTAACCATTGAGACATTTTCCTAGTCCTGTTAAATTTTTTTTAAAGATTTTAAAAAGAGATTTATTTATTATGTATGCAGTGTTCTGTCTGCATGCCAGAAGAGGGCACCAGATATCATTATAGATGGTTGTGAGCCACCATGTGGGTGCTGGGAATTAAACTCGGGTCATCTGGAAGAGCTTAACCGCTGAGTCATCTCTCCAGCCCTGAATAATAAAGATTCTTTGAGTTTTTGGGTTTTCTTTGAGACAGGGTTTCTCTGTGTAGCTTTGTAGCCTGTCCTGGAACTAACTCTGTAGACCAGGCTGGCCCCAAATTCACAGAGATCTGCCTGCCTCTGCCTCCAGAGTGCTGGGATTAAAGGCGTGCGCCACCACCACCCATGTAAAGATTTGCTTTTAATTGTGTATGTGTGTGTGTGTGTGTGTGTGTGTGTGTGAGTGTAGGTCACATGTATGTGGGTGCTCTCAGAGACGTTGGAGAACCTGGAGCTGGAGTCACAGGCTTCTATGAACCATCTGTCTCGTGTGCTTGGAAGAGAACCTGGGTCCTCTGGAAGACTAATACTTGCTCTTAACCACTGATTTATTTTATTTTTAAAATCACATGTGTGTGTGGAAATGTGTATACAAGTGCAGGTGCCCCTGGAAGCCAGAAGAGGGTGTCAGATCCCCTGGAGCTGGAATTATAGGTAGCTGTGAGTCACTGGATACAGGTGCTGGGAACTAAGCTCAGGTCCTTGGTAAGAACAATTTCTGCCGGGCGTTGGTGGCGCACACCTTTAATCCCAGCACTGGGAAGGCAGAGGCAGGTGGATCTCTATGAGTTCAAGGCCAGCCTGGTCTACAAAGTGAGTTCCAGGACAGCTTCCAAAGCCACAGAGAAACCCTGTCTCGAAAAACCAAAAAAAAAAAAAAAAAAAAAAAAAAAGAACAATTTCTGAGCCAGGCGGTGGTGGTGCACACCTTTAGTCCCAGCACTCGGGAGGCAAAGGCAGGTGGATTCCTGTGAGTTCAAGACCAGCCTGGTCTACAAGAGCTAGTTGCAGGACAGCCTCCAAAGCCACAGAGAAACCCTGTCTCGAAAAACAAAAACAAACAAAAAAGAGAACAATTTCTGCTCTTAATCCCTGAGCCATCTCTCAAGAGACTGACCCTTTAAATAGGCCCAGGGTCCATAACTAGAGACAGTAACTGCTAAATACTGATGTCGCCTTCAAGGACCTAATGAGGCAGCAGCTAGTCTACTCACTCTGCAGACAAGTTAACAGGGAGTCAGAGATGAAGTTTGTCACAGAACTTGGTCTATGGCCCAGGGTTGTCTAACTCAAAACTTGTTCCAAAGCCTGGATGCCCTGCCACACTGGGCTTGGTTGTGTCTTGGTGTGGGAATGGGGATAGATCACAGCCCTGATGCAGGACTCCAGACAGCATCTGGGGAAACATTGAGCTCCCACTTTTGACATCATGCAGTGGTAGTTTCATGTCACTTTGCAAAGAGTTTTCAGACTTTGATCCTTATCTTCAGAACAAAAAAAGCACAGAAGTGTTTAAGAGGCTTGCCCAAGGTGGTGTGTGTGTGGGGACATAGGGGTGTCAACTGTGTGGAGCCCAGCAGAGGGCGCCAATTAGCACCACAAGCTCAGAACCCAAGTCCCCAGCAGCAGTAACCCTGCTTTGCATCTTCTTCCTGAACTTCACTATCCCCACCCTTAAAAGGCAGGAATCTAGTTCCAGGGCAGTTTCCAAAGCCACAGAGAAATCCTGTCTTGAAAAACCTAAATAAATAAATAAATAAATAAATAAATAAATAAATAAATAAATAAAGGCAAGGCAGGAATCATGGTTTCGTGTAAGGGGCACTGTGGGAAGCCAAGGAATCATGGGTCTGGCCCAGCTGGCAGAGCAGGCAGGATGGGAGGTTCGGACGCCAATGTCAGGGGCTCCCGTGCTTGCTCACACCAGCCTGGGGGACTCAAAGCTTCTTCCTCATGTCTGACCCAAATTCCTCTTTTTATACTTTCTTTGATGGGCTGCCTAGAAGCAGCCATGTTTCTCATGCAACTGCTTCTACCCCGCCTCAGCCTCGAGGTGCCTGACCTCAAGCTACTCCAGGCCTTGGGGAGCTTCCAAGGGTGGAGAGAGGCTAAACACCCTCCCAAAAGCAGCAGGGGCAAAAGTCAGCCAATGAGAGCGCCTCCTCTCCTCTCATGGGTCTCTTGTGGGGCAAGGGCAGGAGAAGGGCCTGGAAAGACCAGGTGCCAGGACCCAACCCCAGAAGAGTGACTGTTGAATCCTTCCCTTTGTGACTTAAAGAGCCACTGACCTACATTAGCCAGCTGGGCTACAAGTCCTACCTCCACCTCCCCCTGCAGCAAATGCCTCTCTGCCTCTCATTCCCAGGTTCGCATTCTCTGAACCTTCCCTCAGGGCTCCTATTCTCAGACTGGCCTCGCTGCCATCTGGGGACTTCATGGAAATGACTGTCAGTTCCTTAAATGAGGTCTGAATGTCCTTGATGCCTCTTTTTGTTTGTGTGGGTCTCCTCATTTGAGAACCATGCCTTCTCATTTTCTTTCCCCTCTTATGCTACTTTTTGTTTGTTATGTATATGTGTATGTTGCATGCTTGTGTGTGCATGTATGTGAGGGTGTGTTTGCCTGTGCGTATGTGATAACTGCTGTCTTCCTTTATCACACACCACCTTGCTTTCTTTTCCTTTGTTTTTATTCTGTACTGGGGGAGGAGGTTGCGAGCCACAGCGTATGTGTGGAGGTTGGAGGACACGCGTGTGAACTGGTTCTCTCCTTCAATCATATGGACCCCAGGGATAGAGCTCAGGTTATCAGGCTTGGTGATGTCTACCTGATAAGTCCTCTGCCTTATCTTTGGAGGCAGTATCTCTCACTGAACCCAGAGCTCACTAATTAGCTACACTGGGTGGCCAGCAAGTCCTGGGGAACCTCCTGTCTCCACCTGCCAGTACTGAGATTACAGGCGCAAGCCATCACACCCAGATTGATACAGGCTTTTTACATGGTGCTGGGTATCCAAACTGAGGTCCTCATGCATGTGCAGTAAACACTTTACCCATTAAGCCACGCCCCCAGCCCTGTCATGGTTTGTTTTGAAATGGCTTGAACCTGATTTTTTCTGCTTCTACCTCCCAAGTGCCAGGATTACAGGCATTCACCGCCCAACCCAGCATTTTGCTGTTATAGAGTGACACTGGGGTTTGAGCCCAGGCTCCCAGGCAAATGCTCTATCACTGAAAAACTGTCCATTGGACCATCACTGGGCAGTTTCAGATGTGCAGTGGCCCCTTCTGCTATCACCCTCAGGTTGAAAGCCTGTGGCCAGAGTTCATCTTGCATCTCTGAGCTTTCCTATAGCACATGGAGGGTGTGTGTGTGTGTGTGTGTGTGTGTGTGTGTGTGTGTGTGTGTGTGTAGGAAGAGAGGGGGAGAGAGAAAGAGGGGAAAGAGGGAGAGGAAGAAAGGGGGAGAGAGAGAGAGAGATTGAGAGAGAGAGAGAGACCTCTAGGGCATAGGGGTGGAGATAATCTTCCAGGCAAGAAGTCCCACCTCCTAACTCCCATTAAGCTTCAGGGGTTAAAAATTGAAGCCAGAGAATCTGGAGGCTGGGAGGAGCCACAGGGGCCACTAGAGGACAGTATCTCTTCCTCTAGCCATGGGACAAGGTGATACCCAAAACCACCCACAGATTAAAAAAGTCCCAAAGAGCTGGTGCAGCACTCGGAGCCTTCTGGGAACTTACTACTACAGCCCATGTTTCTACAAACTGGGTATCAAAAGTTAGACACCGCTAACATATACAAAACTGGCGGCACAGTCTAGGTGTTATGTGGACTTTGTCCCCCGACAGGAAGCTCAGTACCATACCAGGGGACCCTTCCACGGCACCAGGGTCCATCTGATCAGAGTACATCCCAGCATCCAGTGAGGCGACTTCTCTGAAGCTGCCCTTCCTACAGCAGCCCTGACATTGGGACCATTCAGGAGCCTTCTCTGAAAGCTCCCCGGTATCCAAGTAGCAGCAGGGTAGGGGTACTCACCACAGCCCCAGCTCCTGCAGGTCCTGCGCCGACTGCTGCTCCAGAGTCTGGGTCATCCACAGAGAAGGAGTTGCTATTCCGTAACCTGGATCGCCTCTTCTTTAGCAAATCGGCGTCACGCACGTGGGAGAAAGAGCCGTGTGCGCGGGGTGGAGGCACCGGTCCGGCCTCCCCACTGACCGAGGACCGTCTGAGTCTCACACCACTCATGCCACCTGGCGCCCCCACTCCGTTTACCAGCCCCTCTGTGAGGGCTACGGGGGACGTGGATGACCGGGCTCTGGGGCCGCCAGAGGGAGCTTCTGGGGGAACTGCCTCCTGGGTAGCCTCGGCCTCCCCATCCTTGGAGGCACAGCGCAGGTCCGTGTCCCTAGAGGCCACCTTGGGCACCGCCCCAGCCCCGCGGTTTACAGCCTCCTTGGGCTCTGTGGGCGCTTCAGTCCCATGCCCGCGTAGCCTCTGCGCCAGGTCGCCTGCGTCCAGGCCGTCGGGCAGGCTAGACTGGGCGTTGCCCACGCGGTAAGTGCCAGGGCCACCACCGCCCTCCAGCTGCACCAGCTGCAGCTCCTGCCCGGTACAGAAAGCTCGGATCTGACACAGGTACGTCATGACGATGAGCTTGTCAGGTACAGACAGAAGCACCATGTCCGCTGGCTCCAGCAACCGAGACACGCCCAGGGCAGCGAAGCCATCAAAAGCCTAGGAAGGGAGCACTCTGGTCAGAAGCAGCCACGATTGAGCAACACTCCAGACCCAAGTCAGCTCCACAGGGGGTCTCTAAGACTCTAGAGCCAGGATTTGCTTAGCAACGCCTTCACCCTCCGGTAGAGGGAAATCTGGCAACAAGGCCGTCCTCACTGTTACCTAGCAACTGCACACCACCTACCAGTTATCAAAGGATGATTTTCGGGGGAAAAAATCTAGGGAAAATATGCTTTTAAAATTAAAAACACGAAAACAAAACTAGGGCAAACAAACAATTTAATAACCAAAAAGATTTTAAAGTTTCCAAACCTCAGACTCTCCAATTCTCAGGCCAGCTGCCTGACTCTCTAGCTAGACCCTTTCTTCAGCCATGACCCCTCCTGGTCTCACCTGTTTGTTGTTCTGTTTGATGTTGAGTGGGTCGAGGGAGAAATAGTCACTGCATTGAGAGAGAGAGAGAGAGAGAGAGAGAGAGAGAGAGAGAGAGAGAGAGAGAGAGAGAGAGAGAGAGAGCTGGTAAGGAATGGCGGGCACTGGTGTCCCTGAAGGCTCACTTCCCATCCATCCCCATGTCCCTGGCCACTCACATCTTGTCTGGGTAGAATCGATGTAAAATAGCACAGAAGGCCAGGCCGTTGCGCCAGGATGTGGTGAAATTGGTGATGCAGACACCACGGTAGCCATTGGTGACCTCTTGGCACCACTCCAGCAGGGACCGGCTGGAGCTGACCAGGGCAGGTGGTGCCTGGGGACACAAAGGTGGATTCGGAGGGCATTCTAAGGGCTCTGTCCTCTGCCCTTTGGAGAAGCTCAGGCCTGGCATAAAACCACCCTAGGTCTGACTTTGCAAGGATCATCAGAGACTACTGATCAGGGCATTGGGTTTTCAGCTTGGGGTAAGGAAGTTATCTGCCAAGGTCACCTAAAAGGTCAGTGTACCCAGGCAAGGTCAGAGGTCACCAGCAGCCACACCTCAAAGTCAGCCCAGAAAATCAGCTTAAGGATATCCAGTTCCATGCAGCCTAGCAGGATGAAAGGGCCAGGGCATCCTGAGGGACCTTTTGGAAGCTGAAACCCCTCCCTCCAAAACCGCATCTTGGTCTACTAGGTGGGTCCATGCAGAGCCACTGTGCACTCAGCCCCCGGGTTAGTGAAGAAGCAGACAGGCTATCAATGGGCCATCCCTACCTGGCTGCCCAGCAGCCTCCTGTCCTCTTCAGGCTCCTCTGGGGAAGAGGCCCCCGAGGGCCTGGGTACCCCAGCCCCTGCCCCATTGGCCCCCTGTGCCTCAGTCAGGCTGGCCTCTTCCAGGCTCTCATCAGCTTCTTTTTCTTTCACGGTTCCCAAGACCCCAGATTCTGCTTCCTGGGCCTCAAAAATATCAGATTTATTCTCTGGAGACTCGAACCCCTCCCTCTCTGCTTCCTGTGGCCCCACAGTCCAAGACTTGGCCTCTACTATCCCCAGAACTTCACTTTCTGTCTCTTGTACCCTGGACCCCTCTGATGCTATTCCCTCAGCCCCAGAAACTCTTTGTTTAGCCACTGCAACTCTTAGGGCCTCATACTTGAGAGTTTCCCCAGCTCCAGGCTCCTGGACCCCCAAAATGTCAGTCTTTGCTTCCTCAGACTCCAAAACCATAATTTCTGTCCACTGGGCCCTCAGTACCTCAGTGTCTGCTGCTCCAGACTCTGGCCTGGAGATTACAGAATTCCTTTCTTGGGCCCTGGCTACCCCAGCCTCTATTTTCTGGATTTCCAGAGCCTTGGTTTCTGCTGCCTCAGCCTCTGTTCCCAGAGGCCCTGACTCCTTTACTTCTATGTCTTGGGCCTCCAGAATCTCAGACATCATTGTCTCAGTTTCTAACTCTGGGGTCTCTAATCCTATGTCTGCCTTCTGTGTCCCAAATAACTCAGCATCCACTGTCTCTGTTTCTACCTCTGGGGTCTCCCAAATCTCCATTTCTGTCTCCTGGGCTATCGAGATCTCGGATTCTTCCATCCCTGGGACTCCTGAACCCTCAGATGCTATTTTCTGGGTCCCCAGTATTTCAGCTTCTGCCCCTGCAACCTCTGTCTGTGATAGCTCAGGGCCTCCCACCTCTGTCTCCTGGGCCCCTAACATCTTAGATTCTGTTATCTCTGCCACTATTCTCAGTGCCTCACAACCTCCAGATAGCTCCTTGACCTCCAGTATCTCAGCCTCTTTGGCTTCTGTCTCTGGAACTTCTGAAGAGCCAGCCTCTGTTTCCAAGACCCTGGCTCCCTCAGTTTCTTTTCCCAGCACCTCAAAAACCCCAGCTGCTATCTCGGGAGCCTCTAAGTTCTTGGCTAAGTCTCCTTCCTTTATCTCCAGGGACCCTTCAATCTTGGATTCTGGTTTCTCAGCTTCTATCCAAAGTGCTCTATGACCCACTGATGTTTCCTGGGTCCCCCGTATGCCATCTTCTACTGTCTCCATCACTGAAATATCTGAACCTCCCACCTCTGTCTCCTGCATACCCAACGTATCAGACGTTGCCACCTCTGCCTGCGCCTTTGGAGCCTCTGAACCTTCAGCTGCTACCTTCTGGGTCTCCAGTGTTCCAGTTTTGGCCTCCCCAGCCACTGTCTTTGGGGTTCCCAGTATCTCAACCTCTACCCGCAGTACACCAGCTCCCCCATCTGCTACCTCCTGGGCTTCCAATATCTTAGTTTCTGCTGTCACTGTCTTGGTACCTGCAACTGTAAGATCCCCAACTGTTTTCTGGATCGCAAAGTCCTTAGACTCACTTCTCTCAGTCCCTGTCCTCAGCATCCCCAGAACCCCGATCTCTTTATCCTGGGTCCTCAATACCTCAGACTGTGCTGTTCCAGTAGCCTCTGGCTCCAGGACCTCTGATCTTGCTGCTTCTGAACCTTGGGCCTCCAATACTTCAGACTCTGCTGTGCCAGTCCCTATTTCTGGGGACTCAGGTCTCCCAGCATCTGCATTTGGTGTCTCTATAACCTTCCCTGGCACCCACTCAGTCTCTGTTTTCAGGACCCTTGGCTCCCCAACCTTTGCCTCCTGGGCCCTCAGATCTGCAAATACTACCTCCTGGCCACCTGACAGGACTTTCTGAAAGTCGCTCCCCTGGGCCCCAGCACTTGCTGCTCCAGCAGAGGGGCCCTGCTCCAGGTCTGTCCTCTCGTCAACAGGGGTTCTGCCCCTGACCTCCATGCTGTCTCTCTCCTGGTCTGCAGGCATGGCACCCCTGAGGGGCCTTACATGCCCTTGAGGCTCAGCTGGAGGTTGGTTCAGGTCACTGGGAGCCTCTTCCTGGGTCCTTACCCCCATCCTTCTCTGAGCACTCCTAGGAGGAGCCTCAGGAGTTTCCCAGAGTCTTGCCTTAGGCACCAGCCCTGCAGCCTCTGGCCCCTCCACAGCTACATGTACCTTTGACCTCTGCTCAGCATCTACTTGATGAAGTTTTGAACTCTCTTCAGCCTCTCCAGCTGTGAAGCATGGCTCCTTAGTGTTCTTCTCGATGCTTCCTGCCCCACTAGCCTCTGGCCTGTCCCCAGTGTCCCCCTCTTCAACTCTAGATCTTTCTTTTCCTAGGGCACCCCTGGAGCCTCTGCCATCAGCGTCTGGCTCTGGATCAGTTCCACAGGCCTCTGTCCCTCCCTGAGAGCTTATCTGGACCTGGGTCTTCTCAGAAGAACCCACTCCTGCTGGAGGATCCTCTGAGGTATTGGGGTCCTCATCCCCCCTGTAGGGGACTGGGGCCCGGGATACATCAGAGCCTTTCCGGAGCCGAGGGGCTGGGGTGGGGACCATGTCCTGGCCTGGCTGCCTGGTGGACCTGAGGAAAGAGCAGGAACAAGCGCTGTGGTGGGCATCTGTTGAGGCCCACACCCACCTCTACACCACCCTTGAGAATGCTGCAGCCCTGGAGAGGAGCGTGGAGATGGGGGGGGTGCCCCGCAGGGGTGTATCTGCTTCTAATAGCAACACAGCTGGTTCCTTACCTTGTCTCTGGTGGGGATTGTGGGGGCCTTGGGGTTTCAGGCCCCACCTGGCCCCCCGCTATAGCAGCTCGTTCTGACACCACCCTTGAGAATGCTGCAGCCCTGGAGAGGAGCGTGGAGATGGGGGGGGTGCCCCGCAGGGGTGTATCTGCTTCTAATAGCAACACAGCTGGTTCCTTACCTTGTCTCTGGTGGGGATTGTGGGGGCCTTGGGGTTTCAGGCCCCACCTGGCCCCCCGCTATAGCAGCTCGTTCTGACCCCTGGCCCCGGGAGGCCCTGGCTGGTGGCGCAAGGGCACTCACAGGGGCAGGGCTGACAGGGGCAGGGCTGGCTTCTTCAGCACTACAGGATCTGGCAGCTAGGGGGAAAGGGAGGGGATGCTGAGGATTGTATTGTGACATAGGTCCAGTCCCCAACCCCAGTCTCAGGCCAAGTCTTACCTGCCTGCTGGGGCTGGATGTGGCCTTCATCATCTTCTTCACAGAGTGTCTTCAGCTCTCGAGAGGGATCTGAGAGGATCCATTGGAGGGGTATAGTCAGGCCAAAGCAGGGTTCTACAGTTTGAGCCCCACTCTGACCCCCCAACTAGAGTTTAGGGCCTACCTGGGAAACGTCCCAGTCTCAGGGCACAGCCCCGGCCTTGGAGAAGAGGCAGGCCCACAGATGCAGAAGGAGAAAGAGAGAGAAAGAACCACAAAAACGGAGGACAAAGGCTTTACGGAGCAGATGGAGGGAAAGCAGAAGGGAGGAAGGCAGGTTGGGTGAGGGGCAGGAGACTGGACAGAGTCCACACTTCATGTGACCCAGCTTCTCTGGCCTGCTAGGGACCAAAAGGGCATCCACCCCAGGATGAAGTGGCCAGGGACATGGAGAGATATTGAGGACTCATTCTACAGGACTCTGCTCAAGACTGAAGCAGCCACAGGACCAAGACCAAACTTGTATAATCAGAGCTGCTGGACAGGTTGGAGCTGCCGTAATGAGGGTCTCTCTGGTTGTGCGCAAGCCAGCTCTGCCCCAGAACAACCAACACTTGTGATCCATCGTAGGTCTTGGCAGTCTCAGCCCATAGATGACTGTGAGCTCACCTGACTGGGGGCCTCGTGCCCGGACCTCAGGAGCCCCAGGGCCATTAGCTTCATCCTCGTCACTCTCAGCAAAGTCATCCAAGTTGCCCACGTCACTAGGCTTCACACTCATGAGGCTGGCCAGACTCTGCATGTCATCATCCCTGTGGGTTTGAAGTCAGTGGTGAGGGCTGGGGTCGGCGGTCACAAACCGGGGTCCGGGCGGACAGGTGGAGACTTACGTGGCACGGCCCTCACGCAGCAGCACCCCAGAAAGGGTGAGGCTCAGCTCAGCATGCACTACCTTCACAGATTTGGGCTTCAGTCGCAGACGAAGTGGAACCTGAGCAGGCACAGGCCCTGCATGGCGGGCCAAGTCCACATCAACTGTGGCCAGTACCTTCCGCTGTCCCTTGGACTCCTGTGGGTGGGGAGTAGGGAAACAGCAGAAGCAGCATCAGTGCTGTCCTGAGCTCCCTGAGATTTCAGGTCCAACCTACCCAGACACTCACGTTTTCAATAATAAAAGTCCACTCTTTGGCTTCATACTGGTCCACATGAGGGTCCTGGAGAGGGGAGTACTGGTGAGCACTGGGTTTCAAGGAGGGCAATGCCAGAGCAGTCTGTACTGGCTGGGGGGTGGGGAAGGGCCCTCACGCCTGCTGCTCCCTCCTGGAATGCACTTTGGCTTCTCTGAGTGAGTATGTGTGGTACAGGATTGTACTCCAAACTTCATGCATGCTCTCCAACTGAGCTATATCTCCAGCCAGCCCAGTACTCTGACTCCTTTTTTTTCTTTTGAAAATAATTATTTATTTTGATTTTATGTGTATGGGGTGTTTTGCCAGCACGTATGTCTGTGCAACATGTGTTCGTAGTGCCCCATAGGACAAAGAAAGCATTGGATCCCCTGGAACTGGAGTTATAGGTGGCTGTGAGCTGCCATGTGTGGGTTGGGAACTGAACTAGGCTCTTTGGAAAAAGAGCCAGTGCTCTTAACTGCTGAGCCCACTCTTCAGTCCTTGTGCCCTGGGTTCTGATCCCAGGTGAGGTTGGGTAAATCCTCCAAGCCCTCTCTTCAGCCACTTGCAATAAACCCACACAATTTTTGGTCCCACCACTTGGTTCTTTCAAGGTGAGCAACCCACCAGGGGGCCCACATACCCAGCATTGCTCTTCTCAGCCTAGTCTTGTCTGTGCCCAAGCTCTAGAGACTCACCCTGTACAAGGTCACAGAGATGTCCACGTTCTCAGGGACCAGCCACACTACAGTGCCACGGTATGGGTTCTGGATGCCAGGTTGCCAGCTGTGGGCCTGCAAGAGCAGTAGGGAGTCTTACTCCGCCCCATCACCATCAGGCCCTGATCTTCTTCCCCGCATCTTCCTTTCTCCCTGTAGAAGCTGCTACGACTTGAACCTAATTACACTCACCCACCCACTCCTGTCTACCTTTCCTTTGCCCTGCCTCCCAACCTGGACTTCCAGTTGCCAGTCCTCCTCACCTTGGAGCAGATGCGCCGGTTCCGACGAGTCCATACCACTACCAGTTTGTCTGGCTGCCTGGAAGAAAGGGAAGAGCTGCTTAGCCAGGCCCAATCCAGCTTCCCCATCTTCTTTTCCTCCTTTCCTTAGCTCCCTGGGGGTCTCCCCTGATCCTCTTCTCAAAGAGAGGGCACGGACAGCTTCTTATCTAGAGTCACAGGGTGTAGGGTGGGGCTGCTCAGGCAGGGTGGGGCAGGGACCGAAGGGCAAAGGCCTGGACAGTGGAGATTGGGACGTCATGGCCCAGAAGGGCCTTTGAAAAAGTGACAGACAGGAAAGTCACACGCACACATGTATGCACACGCAGAAACACGGGAAGATAAAGCCTTGGAGGTAAAGAAGTCCATTTATTCACAAACAGTTGTGGAGTACCTCTGGGGCTCAGCTTATTCTGAAGGCAAAGTAAAGGAAAAGAAAGACTCGGGTTGAGGCAAGACCCCTGGGGCTGAGGCAAGACCCTTTGAAGTAAAGAAAGGCAGAAGAGAAATATGCCTGGCTTGGTGGTGCAGATCTTTGTTTTGTTTTGTTTTTGAGACAGGGTTTCTCTGTGGCTTTGGAGGCTGTCCTGGAACTCGCTCTTGTAGACCAGGCTGGTCTCGAACTCACCGAGATCCGCCTGCCTCTGCCTCCCGAGTGCTGGGGGTGGTGCAGATCTTTAATGCCAGTACTTGGGAGGCAGATGGAAGCAGGTCTGTGAGTTCAAGGACAGCCTGGTCTCTCTCTCTCTCTCTCTCTCTCTCTCTCTCTCTCTCTCTCTCTCTCTCTCTCTCTCTCTCTCTCTCTCTCTCTCTCGTGTGTGTGTGTGTGCATGCGCGCGTGTGTAAGAAAATAAACTAGTAATGAATTTTAGGGGGCTGGGTGTCTGAGCAGAGGCAGGAGTAGAGCAGGTGGTTTTGTGTGCTGATCTTCAGAGAAGGCTCCAGGGAAGGAACTAGCCAAGTACAGGATCTGAGGCTAGGGAAGTGGCAGAGGCAGAGGGAGGCAAATGGGAGGGTGAGGCCAGAGAAGCACAGGGTTGGCTCACCACTAGACCCCCCCATACGGCGCTTTGCTGTATTCGCTGACCCTGAGGAGGGTCAGGCAGGACTCCTGTCTCCTGAAATCCAGATCCACTGACCACTGCTCTGAAGGGACGAGAACAATGGAGCCCAAGGGAAGTCTGAGAAGACTTCCAGGCAAGGACAGCTGAGCCAAATAGCAAGCACGTGTTGCACAGTCTCCAGAGAGGCAGACAGGTGTAAAGGCAGGGACAAGCAAGGAGGGAGCTGCACAGGGCTGGTCCCTGACCAGGTGCTGACACGTGGCGGCCCAGGAGGGTGGGGTTGGTCCATGAAAGGATCAGGTGCAGGCATCATGAAGCCCTCCCTCCCTGCTGTTTCCAGTCCCATCCATGCCTGGATGCTTGGGTCTACTCAACTCACTGCTGAGTTGGCAAGACAATCGGTTTGCTCTCAACCCTTGAGGTTTCTGAGACACAGAAAAGTAGTCCAGATAAGGTCGGTCACACAGCTGGGTCTAGAGTTCTCTGACCCAGAAGTAAGCAACCATTCCCAGCCCCAAACCACAGGCAATGGCCCAGCAAGACCTTCCCAGAAAAGGGAAACAGCAGGGGTGCCTAGGGAGGGTGTGGCTTGCACGGGCAGCCTGACTCAGGCACGCCTTCCTGGGAAGCTGTGACCTAGGCAGGGGCAGCTTCCTGTCCTGGGCTCCTGGCTAAGAAGTGCAGCCAGCCTTACCCATTGCAGCTTGTGACTCAGCCCGCTGACACTGTCTTCACCCTCTGTCTACTTACCAGACTATGGCTAGCGTCCCTTTAGCCTCACCCAGAGGCCAGAGTTCAAGTGCCAGCTCTGCTGTTGCCCCAACTAGCTCCTATTCTCCCTCAGCCTTCACTGCATAAAGGGTCTCCTGGCAGGCCCAGCAGGTTCAAGGCCAGAGATTGATAGTGGCTGCCCCAAGGACCCCAGCCTCTGTTGATTCCCCTCCCTTTAGACCCCATGGTTCCGGCCTACCCCTGCTCTTCCCCCTTGGGACTCTCTATATTTAGCCCTGCCTGGCCTGTGAGGCCCCCACAGCTGTGCCCTAATCCAGCCAAGGGAAGCTGACACCAGTGAGCACATATATTTAGGGTGTGACGCAGGGGCCTGGGCAGCTGCCCGGGGGTGGAGGGGGTGAGCCAGATGCCCCAAGGCCCTTTGACAGTCCAAGACAAGGCCTGAGTACTCTTGTGTGTTGTCCCTCATCTGACTAGCTTTCCTCACTGATCCTCTCCTCCTGGATCCACCAGCCCCTAGCTAGGACCTGAGGCCCCTTTAAGCCTCTCCCCGCCTCCTCTTCATCCCTCCAAGCTCAGTTTCCCCTTTTAAGGACATTGTGGAGACATCTCCAGCCTCTGGGGCCCACTCTGGCTGAAGGGGGAGGGGCAGAAAAAGAGAAGGCCACATCTTTGCTCGGAACTTGACTAAAATCCATGAAGTCTGTCCTGGCCTTGGCCACCTGGAGACCTCAAAACTTGTTCCGTTTTCCACTGCCACCCTGCAACGCCGCTCTTGACTTGAGGAATGAAGGAAGCCTCCTCCCTCAGTCCTGACCACAGCCGATTTAAATGTGAGCACAGATTCTTCTCCTGCCTGTGAGTCTTGCCCCCAACAAGGCTCTCCACACCTCTCAACTCCTGGAGACACACCTAGGACGGGAACCCCTTTAGCCGTTAGGCTTGGGGCGTTTTTCTCAGGCTCAAAGAGGTCAAGCTAAATGGAGTTCCACATCAGTCTTGGGGGACTCCCTCAGTTCTCCCTTCTACTCACCATTTCTTGGTGCACTCCAACACCAGTTCATGGTAACACGCCACAAACTGGAACTTGGCGGCTCTCTTGCCCACCCGCTGTAGGCGCTTCCACACCGAAGTCATGGCCCTAGCAGCTCTTGCCGCCCACGTCTCAGGCTCGGGGATCCCGCTTGCTCGCCACTGCTGGCCCTGTCAGGGTCCCCATGATCTCTGGGGCCCCTTTCTGCTATGCCTGTCCTGTCTGCCACGTCCGTGTAGAGCTGTCTGAGGTTCGGATCTAGGTCGTGCTTGCTGGGGCGGCCGCTGGGGTCCGCCGGGTGGGCTAGCTGAAATCTGCGGGGCGGTCCCGCAGCGTCGAGTTGGTAGGAGCTCGGAGCTGTGAGCGCGCCGTTTCCTGGAGCCGCACCCCCGTCCGAAGGCGGGCGGGGCTGCAGCGCGGGGCGGGGCGACCCTGCTTCCGGGACCCAGCCTCGCGACCCGAACACCGGCACCCGGCTTAGGGGTGGAGGGAAAGAGTCCCGACCGCAAAGCCGACTTGGTGGGCGCCCACGGGCCGGATGGGGTGTGTGTGTGGGGGAACGTAGGTGCTTCAAGACCTGACAATCCTCAACTTGGTGCTGCCCTCCAAAGAGCTGCCCAAGCCGCCTCCCTTCCTGCCTGCAACCTTGTGGTACTGTTTGGTACCCCATTTCCCAAGCTTGTAAAGCAGAGACCTAGCAAGGAAAGGGGCTTGCTCAGAGTCCAGCGGTTCTTAGCTCTGGGGTGGGAGACTCTTGTTAACACCCATGTCTTTTTAACCAGAGAGAAAAGTTCCGAGTCGGGAGACAGCCTTGGCGGGATGCACCTAGTATCTCAAAATCTGACTTCTCAGCTGGCACCAGGGAAAACAGTCCTCAGTACTCACAAAAGATGAAAGGGTCAAATATTAGTTTCTAATCAAGAGTGCCACCTTGGACAAAGCACTAACACTGTGAGCCTCTGTTCTGAAGTCTGTTAAATGGGGCCAATTATAGTTCCATCTTTTATGGTCATAGAAGGTTGAAACCTGGGGAAGCAGCTAGCACAGGTCTGGACTGATTTTGCCATGTCTCATTAAATGCAACCCGTTATCAGGGCTAGAGAAAATGTGTACATGGGTGTTTTCCCTCCTCCCCTGTTGTGTTAATGCCTAGATTAGACTCCTTATCACTCACCCATCCAACTAGAATGGTAATGAGCCTCTGCAAGGTGTCTTATGCTCAGTTAGCGAAGTGCCCTAGAGCAACACATCTAAGTGTTCTCTCCCTGCCCAGTGTCTGGTCTAGTCTAGTCTACCAGTAGTGCCGGCTGGGTGGCATCTCCAGCAGGCAACTGACTGTGGTAGAGAGTGGGGATGAGGTGCCTGTCTGCAACCTCGCCTACATGAGACCCGATTTGTCTCTCCACCCCATCGGTGTGGTCCTCTGCATCCTCGAGGAAGCCCTTTGTGTACAACCCTACAGGTCCTTAGTGCTGAGGTCCCGGAGAGGCTGGGTGGTCTGAGACTGCAACAGAGGTGCCTGAGTCCTCAATTTTCGCTGCTCAGTCTCTACAAACGATGGTTTGAGCCCTGCTGCGGTCTTGCTTCCAGGGCTTGTCTTCAGACTGAAGCTTCACTCCCTTCGGCCTCTACACCTTTCCCACCCGCGGCCTCTCCCTACAACCCACGGGGCGCCAACTCCAAGACTCTTCTAGGAGCTTTCCCCTCATTCCGATGGGCCCCTGGGTCAGCCAGTTCTGGCCCACCCATTTCCTGTTCCGCTGCAACTCCGCCCCGCACTGGAGGTGGAAAGTTTCTCTCCTCAAGATGGGCGGCTCCTTCCTTCCCGGAAAGCTCAAAGCAAAGGGAAAGGGGAAGCTGGGGTCCGAAGCTTAGAGCTTTTTCATGCTGTTTCATGTTGCAGAGACAGGCTCTAGCAACCTGGAAAACTTCCAACCGTGCCCGAAGAGGTAAGTTTAACACCCTGTGCCCTACGCCTTTCACTAGGGGGTCTTGGGCACCAACTGCAGGCAGAACTCGGGGGTCTTTGGCACCAACTGCAGGCAGAACTCGGACCACACTGCCATAAATGACTGTATTCCCAAGCGAGTACCAATCAACCAGGCAATCAGAATACAATGTCTAAAGTATTTATTTCAGGCAGGCGGATCTCTGTGAGTTCGAGACGAGCCTGGACTACCAAGTGAGTTCCAGGACAGCCTCCAAAGCCACAGAGAAACCCTGTCTCGAAAAAACCAAAAAATAAAAAATAAAAAAAATAAAAAATAAAATAAAGTATTTATTTCACACCCTGCGCCCTAAACCTTTCACTGGGAGGTCTTGGGCGCCACCTGCCGGCAGAATTCGGACCACACTTGCCAGAAACGACTGTTATTTCCAACCGAGTACCAATCAACCAGGCAATCAGAATACAATGTTGAAAGTATTTATTTTCTCATCCAGGAACTGGTCCCTAAACTTAAATATCCAGCATAGAGACCTTGGGCTCTGGCCGTGGGTGGCTTCAGGGATGGATCCTGGAGTCCTTGTCCCAGGGAGGGAATCCCTGGGGCCACAGGTAGGGATGCCCCTGAGCCAGCAGCTGCAAGTGGCAGCAAAAGACGAAAAAGAGATGGACGCCAGGCAGTCATCCGAGTCCCAGAGATGCCAACGGGAGTGCAGGACGCTTTGGACCCCACGGTCAGACTAAGGGCTGCCCAAGCTAGGGTGCACACGTGGGAGAAGCGGGGGGTCCGGTGCACCGGGCACTGGCTGCAATCTTGGCCGCTTTGCCCGATGGGCATAGGCCTTGCCCTCCTGAAGTGAGGTGGTACGGGTAAGAGCAGGCACTGTCGACTAAGGACTTGCTGAAGGGCAAGCTTTGAGCCTTTTGTATGGGTGCACTCCTATCCACCTCAGCTTTTCAGAGGCTGATTTGGAAGGCATCCTGCAACCACTGGTCCCGGGCATTGTGTGTTTGGGGCACAGTGAGGGGTGGAGGGTCTGGGGGCAGGCTGGCATCAGGAGGCTCGTCATCATCAGACAGGCCGGCATCAGGTGGGTAGGAGCTGTCCGAGTGAAGGGAGGAAGACAGGTCCGGGCACAGGCTCAGGTCTTGGCACAGATGCTTGTAGTCCTGGATCGACTCATACAGGCCCCACAGCTGGCACAGCAGAGACATATCCAGCTGCCGCAGCCCCACCTGCAGACAACTGACAGTAGGCTGGAGTTGGGGGTCCAGGCCACCCCAGCCCCCAAAACCCAAAGTCCCCACAATGAGCCACAACCCTATCCAGTCTTCCTGCACCCTCTTACATTAAAGTTCTGGAGACAACAGATGGCACTTGCCAACTGTAAAACCTAAGCCAGGCACTGCCCTCATTTACACAATGGGATAACATTGTCCAGCATGATGAAATCAGGCAAGTTTTAAAAATGCAACAATTGCTTCACATTATTACTATCACAGCTATCCTAAAGCCCTGTGATCCGATGTCTCCTGCTGGGCCTGAGCCCGAGGACACAGGTGCCAGACTTATGTCTGCTCTATCCGCAGAGTACACCACCCCTGGCGGGGCGCCCACCTACTCACCATCTCCTTGCGCAGCGCGGCTAGTGCGGAGTCCAGGTTAAGCGGGCGGCGCGCACCCGCTGCGGAGCCCGAGCTGGCAGCGCCCGCGGCGTGACGGGGACCGTCCGGAACGCGGGCGGCACGGCTCAGCTCGTCGTGGATGCGGCTCCGCTGGCTATAGACGCGCTCCAGCTCTCTCCATGAGCCCCCACTAGCGTTAAGAAGGCCGCTGAGGCCGCGCGGGAGCGGCGGGAGCCCGGCCAGAGCGCAGCCCGCGCCTCCTGGCGCCTCCGCTGAGGTCAGACCGTTCATGGCCCGGCTGGCATGGACTGCGGTACCACCCGGACCCCTCCACCGTTTCCCTCAGGAGGCGGCCCACAAGCCCCGCTCCAGAGGGAGCCCAGCCACCGCCCGCAGGCCGCGCTTTGTTCCTTCCCAGACTCCTCGGACTCCGCCTATGCTCCTCCCCCTCTGCATGGGTGGGGCTTCCCTTAACTGGGAGATGGTTGTGGGTCCCAGCAACCCACCAAAGAAAGAACTGGAAGGGGTGAGGACGAAAGGGTCAGGCAAGAGTGTTGGGCGGCTCTTTTGGCTACCTCATTCCTACACAATGTGTCCTACACACTACCTCTCCCAAGGGAAGGATTCTGAACGTGTGGGGGTGAGGAGGCCAGAGAATGGAGTAGGACTGTGCTTGGCTCTTAAAAGAGTTTCGCTGGGCGCCCCCTCAACATGTCAGCAGCCCAGTGGACAGGAAGATGGAATCACAGGCTCATGGTGCTCAGAGGAGGGAAGGAAGCACCAAGGGGACTGAAGGCTCCAATGTCACTCAGGTCCGGAAGGTGGAGGGAGGGGTACTGGACCAGAGACAACAGAAGTCCAGCCTTTGAGGAGGCTGAGGTCACTTCCTTGGAATAAAGTGTCACCTATCCCTCTACCATTCACCCCTAGTCCTGAATGCCAAAACCCACATCATTCGGGTAGAAAAGACCGTGAAAAGGTGAGACGCCAAAGAAAGAAAATCCGTGAATAGAGCTGGGGCTTGCATGCACACTCGGAACCAAGGAACAAACCACACAGAGGAACAGCTGGTTTTCTAGAAGGTTTTTCTCAGGGGAACAGAGGCTGGGGTGGAGGTCTCAGTGCTGCAGCTGTTGCAGGCTGCACAGGGCCTCAGCACAAGCCCGGATAAGCCCACACAGCTGGACACTAGTCTCCAAGGAGGTGCTGGAGCTCAGCTCAGCCGACGCCCAGGTTAGCTTCTGCAGGAGGGCTGTCCGCGTGGCAGCCACCACGTCTGCATTTGGAGGTGCAGCAGGGAGGGGAGGCCCCTGCGCTGCCTTGAGCCCTGCTGCGGCTCCCTCACAGTGCTCCGGACGGGGTACTGGGGGCTGCGGTGTGGGCCGAGAGCCTGTGGCAGGCTCTGCGGTGGAGGCGAGCTGGTATTCCCGAGCTTGAGACAGGGCCGCCTGTGGATTCAGAGCTAAAAGAAGAACATAGGTGGGGTAGTCAGGATGCCTGGCGCACCTCTGCCCCAAGCCGTTTGCTCTTTATTGCCCCTCCTGAGCTTCCAGCGTTCTCCGCGTAAGGCAATCCGTCAGTCCCTACTCTTCCTCCTTACACATGCCAGGCAAGCAATATACCGCTGAGTTTACACTTCAAGGACCAGCTGCCTGACACTTGCCCTGGCCTCATTCATCCATCGAGTCTGCGCATGAAGACTGGGATGTGTACTCAGCGGCAAAACGCTTGCCCGGCACGTGCAAAGCCCCAAGTAGCACCTCCGCTCTGCATGTGGGGTTGGCTCGATTCAGCTCGGACGCTATCCAAGGTATCGGGAACA